CCTGGTACTCAATAATCTCAAGCTTAGATGGATTCCACTTCAAATGAGATACAATATGTTGGAAACCATATGTTTTTGTTTCTAGTATTCATCATTATGGTTTGTCTAAGTGGTTAGATAGAGCCTTTCCCAGGTGACAACTGCTGTTGGAGAACTGGCTATGCTAACACATTTTGCTGCTGTGTTGCAAATACTGTTGCAAATGTGCCAAAATACAGCATTGTATTGTTACGTGAGATATTGAAAGTCAACTCAGGAAATGGATGCATATAATAATCTTACGTTATTCTGGTTGGAAATTTGTCCTGTGAATTCTTTCACAGTCTTGTAAGGACTTTTAAAATGCTGGCAATTTCTGTGCTTTTATCTTTTTTTCTCCCTCTACAAAAATAATATAATAGTAAACCATTAAATTCAAATCAAAACAAATTGTGGATGAAAGACTGGATGAAATTCTATGTTTGTGTTATAAAGAATACCAGAATTTTGTCTTGATCTTCTTGGTCATAAAATCTACTGTCTTAGCTTTGTGGGGCCCTTAAAAGGCCTCAAATTCTTACCAGAAATCCGACGGTCCTTTCACATACAGGCAAGTGGAGCCTTGACTGGTTGGAAATCTCACACTATTGGGCAAGAGCAGAAGTGCCTGGTGGGATGTTCTTTCTCAAGCTTTGTCCTTTAGCTGTGTCGCTGTACACTACATCCCAGTCTGGCATAGATTGTGTTGTATAGCCACATCTGTGAGTTCAGAGCAATATAGAAGATAATTTGAAATAAGTGTCATAGCTTGTGTGCCCTTAGAGGTGCCATCAGAGGGTATGCTAGTCATTTGTCTGTTCAAACCAGCTCTGACGGTCTATCTATAGTAGCGCATGAAGGGCAGAGCTATGACCTGCCTCAGCCCTAAAAGGCAGAGCATCTATGTTGACCTCAAAAAGTAAGATTCCATGTGTGTGTGACTCCCTTTGTGACCTCTGTATGTTTTTGTGTAGTATTATGCAGTTCTGAGTTTTCTAGGTGTTTAGATGACCAATGACTCTCTTGCACAAAACTTTCTTACACATGCTGTCATTGCGTGTGTAATTAGAAGATATTACGATGTGGTTTTCTACTTTCCTCTGAGGAATGAAAGCAGAGAAACTTTCATACCTAGGGAACACCAAATAAATTATTCAGGCCCAGTGTTAATAGGAATTGGGCTGTTCTTGGACCACTGTTCTAAAGAATTAATTGGAATGCAGATTAATAGCTTTAATGGATGAAATATTGCATCTTCATATTCATTTTAGACTAATGTGATACACTTCTTACTCATGCCACTTTGCACCATCCAGCTGATGTCCTGGTTGTTGTTGTTCACAGTCTGGCAAAACTACTCTAGTGCTGCATAAAATAGGGTGTAAACTTAGACAAGAAGACATTTCTGCTTGTTGTGAGTACTGTCTCTGAGAGGTGGTAAATGCTGGAGGTTTAATAATTCAAATACCAAAGTGTTTTTCTATTAACGTTAACTTTTTCTATTGTGCACATATTTTTCTTTTTCTACTTTTGTAGGCTGCAGCTGTGCAGATATGATTTTGTACTGATGGAGAACATGGAACTGACCTTCAAACCTATCCCTTGCCCAGAGAGGGGTACATGAAGAGAGAACTACAACTGACTTAATTTCTCTTACAGCAGTGACTTTTCATTATTCCTCAGGATAAAGACTGCAATGAAAAAGGAAATGAGATAAGCTAGATTTATTTTCAAGACTCTACCTGGGAATATGCATTACTGGCTTTGAGTGTCTTAGGGTGAAATTAATTGGAAAGTTCAGATACCTACATATTTTGGAAATTTGAATAAAGTAAATGTATCATGATGGAGAACATGCAATGGTCTATTCATTATTATTTGTTAGCAGTGAAGCAACTACTGAATTAAATATGAATTATCTGCATAATCCTGGCACATTATTTGTCAAGCCATACATATATTTAATTATTTATTATTTGTAATGGCTTTTACATGGAAACATAATTAGCTGTCTACTAGGTGAATTTAATACACTGTACATGTGATCTACAGATCTAATACACAGCAGTTTTGCTGTGCTGTGTTCGTTGGATGAATGAATTCACATTTTCTCATCATACAATGTCTTAGTCTGAGAACTGAAACAATAAGATTTGTGAGCACATATGTAAATTTGCTATTTAAATCAGTTATCTTTATGCTCATCGTAGATGAATATTATTGCAATCATTCAGATTTTTTTGTATTAAAGCTAGGGACAGGGCAGCGATGTTTCAGATATGAAGTCTATTCTAAAGAGAAGGCTGTTCTGAAGAGAATAACTTAAAGATGAAACAAATACATTTTCATTTTGTTTCTGTTTGGGCCTCCTGGAATTAGAGCTGCTGCTCAGGTTGAGATTGATGACAGCTTTTCGCTTATTGGAATGTGAGCAGGAGTTAGCCCTACATAAAGATTTCCTCCTCCAGTTCAAAAAAAGGTTTTCCAAGGCCAAATTGCCTTTCCTGATGGTACAGATTGAAGAACAGATAGGCGTATTTTTCTTCTTGAAGGTTGTTTTATTTACTTAACCCTGGTTTCTCGTGTAAATGCATCCTAGGCACGTTATCCTTTTCCTTTCTTTCCTATGCCACCGTCATCCCTGCTCTTGACAGCAATACTTGGTTGAACCTATTAACCGATTTCATCTGAATGTCCATGGAGTGGGATGTCCAAAACCTATGAATTGTAAGTTTTATTGAAAGCCCATAGCTAGGTTAGAAGGAAGATGGAGGATAGTGTCCTAAGGAAGGGAAAGCAAGTTATAACTTTGCCCTTTCTATTGCAAGAGGCAGCTCCAACGTGCTGGTCAGTATGTGCAAAGCTCTGAACCAGCCATTGCACGTGCTTTTACTTGTCTAGACACACCAAAAAAATACAGAACTGTGGACAGAATTGCTCATGGACTGATTTTTTAAGAAAATTATTTATTCTATAGAAATGGTAATTACATTACCATAGATTTTCTCAGGTGGTGTCTTATTCAGCTTTATCATTTCGTTGTATACTACTTTGTTCCTTTCCTCTGAGGGAGTAATTAGGAGATACATAGAAAAAGACGTTTTCGTCTGCTTATATGCATGTGTATGGAGGGGTTCTTTTTTTTGTGTTTGTCCTCCCTTTTTTTTTAAACTGCTGTTACTCTGCTTGTTTTCATTCCGTAGGATTTTGTCCAGCCTTGCTCTCATCAACAGTCGTTTCCCTTCACAGGTCTCTAAGCCTCCTTTCTTTCATCACCTTGCCTCCAAATACCTGTTTCTTATATCACTTTAAAAAAACATAGAGACCTGAGAGTAAATTTCAAATGTCTTGAACTAGAAGCTTTCAATGGGTGACACAGATGTTTAGGCATAGAAATGTGTCAGATCGCCTCTTAAGCTTTCTTTTAATGTGGCTTTCTACAACTTGTCTGAAGTTTTATATTTTTATATGTTTTTAAAAATGTTTAATATGTTTTTTATGTTTTATATTCTCGCTTTCTTTTTTCCTGTCCTTTTTTTATGTCCTGCTGAGTAGAACTGAAGTATGAATATGATTCTTGACTATGAACTTTCATTTTGCTTTAGATATTCAATTACAAGTTAATATCTGGAAAAATTAATGAAACTGTATTAGCTTTAATTTGGCAGCATAAAGGGTAGATATACTTCTCTTTCCAGTAATGGAATTGAGTGCTTGTTTATTACCAGAGCTATTATTGATGTAGTTGTCAGATGAGTGGTTTTTTCCCCTATTTTGTGGATTGTTTACCCGTATGAGCTTGATTTTTAACAGCTTACTCTTTTTAAAGACAGAGACACACCAAAGTCTACCTTTTCAGCATTTGCTGGGGTTGGCATTTGCACAGTGAACTATATCCTCTGCCATTTACTTGCTCCCAAAATTAGGATAGAACTCTGGTAATGCAGCCCTTGGAAAGGAGAACTTGCACGAGTATATGCTTTTAGGCAGTAGCCGTAACTCATATAGAATGGACTACTAGCCTCCTGCATCCTTTATTTATCATGTCAACATACTGGCAAAATGGTGGCCACGCAAGCAGTTGTGATATATTGAGTTGTGGGGTACAGCATAGGACACGAGCAAGAAAATATGCAGAATTGAGGACTGAGATAACTTCCTAGAAATTTTCTGTTACAAATGCATGGAATAAATGTGAGGTAAGGTGCTATTGAAAAGATACGAGGAGGCATGCAGACATGACTAACAGTGTTGCACAGTGGTGCAGTATAAAGGTAATTAATGATAATATTTTCACACATTTTAAACATATCTATAAAAAGGGTAGGACAGGAATAGAGTGTGTTGCCTTGATTTGGGTAGACTTTGGGTAAAAAGGAAAGAAGCAGTAGCGTTGATAAGGAGGTTCCAGTAAAAAACATGAGACAGAAGGAAACTTTTTTTTTTCCTGATTTCCCATTTTAGTTGGTAATTTCCATTTCATAAGAGGGACTGTTCCAGGCAGTGCATTTCCAGTGCATAATTGCACTTCTCTCAAGTAGCTAAGCACTTGGACTGTAGCCTTGTGTCTCCCAGCACCAACAAAAGTGTGCTGTAATTGTTCGGAAATGCAGTGGTTTTTATGGCTCGCTGCCACATGCTACTTTGTAGTAATTCTGTCAGCTCCCTGAAGCTCAGCAGAGGATGCCACAGCCAGGCAGAAAAGGAAGATCTTCCAGGGAGTTCCCTGTTCTGAAGCAAGTGGTGATGGTAGTTCAGTGAGGCACGCTTCTGCATCAGAGCTGAAGAGAGGTTGGACTCATTGCAGTACTGTTTCACATTCTCTGTCAGACTGCAAAATATCCACTAACATTTTTCATTTTACTACGAAAAAGTGTACATATGTTTTCACTGGAAAAATTCAGAATGAGCTGAAAACCCCAAATCAATTTCCACTGAGGAAATCTAAAATGGAGAAATAGGTGATTTCAGACTAGTTTGACTTGGAATGGAATATTTGCTTTATGCAACTACCCTAAATGCTCCAATTTTCTCCTGGTTCAGTATTTGGCCATAAGCACTGACCTGGTGATACTGTTATGCTTTGCTTTTCCCACCTGTAAAATGGAAAATTGTCCAATCAAGAAACACTTCCCAATTTGTAGTGATAAATTTTGTTCACTTTGTTTTAGAAGTTTGCTTGTATCTAGTGTGTTTAACCATAAGGAACAGTCTCTATACGTGTGAAGAAAGATATATCCCATAAATAAATGTAGGCTCTGTAATTAACCAGTATATTGTAGTAATACCAAAGGGATCTCGTTAGTATATGCTTGTAGTAATGAACTCTAAATTAGTTCTATCAAATGCAACAAGCTTCGGAGATTTAATGCAGTATTCATATTTAGTGTTTAGTCACAGGGAGATGAAATTGTTAAGTGACAGGTTTATAAAACTAATACAAGCTTTTTTTTTCTTATGCTTGTGTTAGACCTGATTAGTATTGATAAATTCATCTTTTCTTTAACTATACTGTTTCAAATGACATGACAGTGAGGGTATGTCAAGAAACTCATTAAGCACCAGTAGTCACTGGAGTAAGCAGTAGCTTACTTAGACAAAAGACAATGTACAATACAGGAGATGTTCACTACATCACTCTTAATTCACAATAGGTTGAAATGGGCTAGATTAAGGATATGTAGAACAAGACCATTTGCTAGTTTAATTTGGGATGGCTTTATTGATTTCAGTGATGCTATATACGGTTAAGGCTGTGGTTTATGATCTCTGCCTCAGATAAGGATTGATTTCACATTGGGATTACTTATTTGTATAAGGTGAAGTGCAGATATATGTTGGTGGAATTAATGGCTAAGTTTATATGCAGCTAAGTGGAAAGCAATTTAGTAAGGAGACGCTGAACAGAGGTCAGGTATCATTTTAGGAATGCAAGGGCCCTGTAAAAATACCTGCTTTTTTAATCCAGATTTTGTAAATAGAGTTATAGGTTACTTCTAAAGGAGTATTTCAGGGTAATTAATAATCATATGGGATACTATGTCTGGATGGCAAGTGATGGACCAATACAGTGCAGCTGATATGAGTGAAGAAGGAAGGATTCAGACACGGGGACCTAAAGAGGTACCCAATCAGGATTTAGGCTAAGTCCAGAGTCACCTTCTGCATTTGACAGCTGCCACTGGCAGCGCTCTGGGTATCTCAACTTATTTCTTCACTTTGAAGTTTCCACAATTTCTTCTGAGCATACCCAGATCTGTGCATGCATCAGTCTTAGCGCTGACCAGTTTGACACTGCCTCCCAGCTAAACAGTGTCCCAAGTCTAAGCAAGCCTACACCTCCCCCTTCAGTCTGATGGGCATGCCTGGTGCACATCTAATGCTTTGAACTGAATTCCACACAAAAAGTTGAGACAGAATCCGCGTTCTGTTAAAAAAGCATAAGGAAAATGTTATGCTATTGCTCCTTAGCAGACACAGTTTATCATTAAGACACCCTGTTTGGAGTACAAGTTAGTCATCCATGGCACAAGGGAGATTTAGGTCTACATCTGTGGGTTCCCAAAGGAGAGCTGGTGCCCTCATGCTTGAAGTCATCTTGGGCTGGGCCACTTTTCCCCCTCC